ATGTCACGCAGGAGTTGAACAAAAACAGAAACAGAAACAGAGACAACTCGGGAACGACGCATAACAACCCCGCGAGCCGCCAAGTCGGACGTGGTCTTGTCGTCCCTTTGTCGCTCTAGCCAGGTGCATCAGCTATACATCCCGCGGTCCCCTACGACAAGATAGGTTCCTGCGGGGTTGTCACCACCCTTAGGGGAGTATCCCCACCGAGCTTTTGACCCACATGCGAAAGCTTTTATATGCAGTTGCAAAGGTAGATCAGTCGGGGGTGTTTGCTCGCTCGTTGTAGTATAGGTACGAGCGGTTAAACGCCAAGCGGACCCGAACATCGTCCGTCCCTCAGGGCGCTGATCTCCTAAGTACAAATCGGATGTCGGTTGACTAGGACGGTCTCAACCAAGCGTGAAACCCAAATTCATCCTAGTCCCATAGACATACCGTCAAAAGACAACTATACAACCATACATAATTACATCAAAAGAAGTCGATCGTAGTCGACATAAATGTATCCAATCTGAAATGATAACTAAAAGAATACAAATCATCATTTGATACATCCAATAACACGATATTAAAATAAAATTCAACCACCCTAGGTCGAACTCCACAAAAAAAATCATACAGTCGCCAACAAGGAGTTGACTTCGATAATAATCTCAATGCAGTCGACAAAGTAGTCGTATATTCCCAGTGTTGACTGAATGAGATGCGCTACCGAAGTCATTCAGTCCATCCTACCGCCGACCTGAGATTAGGCACGCACACACTCATCTTCATACGTTGCCAATTTTTTTGGATGACAGGCTGCTTTGCAGATAATTCTTGATCAGGTACATTGCTTGAAGTGTTGCATGCCTCTCCCTCTAGGAAGTGGTATGGGGTACTCCTCCTTGCCCGAGCACAAAACTCAGATCTCAGATCTCAGAAGTCAGATCGTCTCCACCGAATAGGTAGAGTACTTCCCCATAGAACGGTCCACTCTGGGTCGATAACAGGGCCGACTCTTGAAGCAACGAACCGCCGCCCCAGATGCTTCCTACAAAAAGAGAATGTATTCACTGCGAGTAGCTTTCAGTTATTCTCACTTCTCCTAAGTTCGAAGTAACTTGGACGAAAGAAGACAAAGGAGCTAGAGGATGAGAATTCGCTTGGCGTTTAACCGCGTGTACCTATACTAGGAGCGAGCAAACGTCCTCGGATGATCTACCTATGTGACTGCATATAAAAGTTTTTGCATGTGGGTTAGTAGCTCGGTAGGGATACGGCCCTAAGGGTGGTGACAGCCCCTTAGGGAAGGCAAGGTGTGCCCTCCGGGAATGTATCATGTTGTAGGGGAACGCGGGATGTACAATTGGCGCACCCAGCTAGAGCGGCGGAGGGACAACAAAATCGTGTCCGCCTTGGTGGCTCGCGGGGTGGTTATGCATCGTTCCCGAGTTGTCTCTGTTTCTGTTTTGTTTTTGTTTAACTCCTGCGTGACGTGGTCGGGAGGGCTCTCACCTTTGAGAAAAAGGCGGGAGCTGATGCGCTCGACAACGGTCGGAGATGATGCTTTTGAGGTAAGCCGTGATCTCTCACGACTCGGTCGAAGACGAAGTCGGCGACCTCACAAGCGCTAATGCGATAGCGGCACAGGACAAAAAGTGCATGCTTCGTGAAGCGATCGACAACGACCAAAATATCATCATCACCGCGCTTAGTGGGTGGAAGAAGGGGACCAACGAAATCCATCGAGATGGACTGTCAACGACCCTCAGGTATGGGTAGGGGCTGAAGTAACCCATACGGAAGGTGGTTCGCACCGTTCACCTTCTGGCAGGTGGGACACTCCTGGATGTAAGCTTTGACGAAGTCCTTGGACTTCGGCCAGATGTATAGGCGGCAAACACTAGCCAGCGTCTTGTGGAAACCCATATGACCAGCAATTGCCTGATCATGGAACTCTGCTACGGAGCTGTCCGGTGGAGGGAACACAGGTACGTGGTTCTAGCTGAGCAGATATGCCATGCCAGTACACGAGACCGCTCTCACCGAGGGAGTATGAAGGAACGGTTTTCCCACTCCACAGTGTCGCGTGGATGACGCGATAATCCGGGCAGTGGCGGTATTGAGTGCGGTATGCGTCGATCATTGACTGATGAACAGTGCTGATGGAGATGGCAGCAAGATGGATGGGTTCCTGATTGTGATTAGGACAACGGGACAAGGCATTAGTGACGCGGTTTAATTCACCCTTGATAGGTTGAGTGGTGAAACTGAACTCGGATAAATCACGCCATCAACGTGCCTGTCGAGGGGAAAGTTTGGGCTTCGTGAGGAAATCCTGGACAATTGGTTATCCATGCGCACCGTGCAGGGCGCCCCATGCAGATAATGACGCCAATGTCAGGTGGGATAAACCTCATGTTCATCGGCAGTGTAGTTTATCTCGGAAGGCAGTAGCTGTCAGGAGTAGAAAGCGATCGGGCAATCTCCAGCACGAGCCTCGACAGTCCCATCCTCCACGATGGTCGGAGAGTAAGTGACAGGAGGACTGTCAGTGGAGGGAAGTGGTGGGAGGATAAGCGTCAGTCGAGAAGTAGTGTCGGTAGGAGGAGGGGGGGGGAAGGAGGAACATGGGAATAAGGTGAAACAAGAGGAGAGGGAAACACCTGAGAAAGTACAACTCCTACTGCAAAATTTGTCACATCATTAGTGACAATGAAGGGACGGTCAAAATTGGGGAGGTGAAGAACCGGCGCACAAGTCGTCGCTTTCTTGAGGGCGCAAAAGGGGTCCTCGCAGAGGGGTGTCCAAAACCACAACGGGTTCTTGCGGAGGAGGGTGGAGGTAAGGACGCAGGAATACCTAGCATATCCCTGGATGAAATTACTATAGTAATTAGTGAGGCTTAGGAAACTGCGAAGCTGCTTGAGGGATGTGGGGACGGGCCACTCCGCAATAGCAGTGATCTTCGCATCGTCCATGTGGAGACTCTGGTCAGACACATGGTGTCCTAGGAAGTCCACTTTGTGTTGGGCAAAGCGGCACTTACTGAGCTTAGCATAGAGTCTTGCTTACGTAAGCGCTGTAGGAAATCACAGAGGTGTCTGAGATGGTCTTTTAAGGTACGACTGTAGACCGAGATGTCGTTCAGGTAAACGAGAACATATTATTCAAAGATGTCCTTGAAGATGTCGTTCATAGCCGTTTGGAAGGTGGCGGGTGTGTTGGTGAGGCCGAATGGCATCACCGCTAACTCGTAGTGGCTGAAGCGCGATCGAAAGGCGGTCTTCGGCTGGTCCTTTGCAGCCATGCGGATCTGGTGGTAACCGCTACAAAGATGGATCTTCGTAAAGAAGCGGTTGCCTGTCAGACGGTCAAACAACTCGTCTGCACGAGGCATAGTTGTTCTTAACCGTGTAACGATTAAGGTCGTGATAGTCAATGCAGAGGCGAAGATTTTCGTCCGCTTTGCGAGCAAAGAGGACGGGTGCACACCAATGGGAATTAGTGGGTTTAATGAAACCCAATCAAAGGAGCTCCTCAAGTTGACGCTTAAGTTTCGTCGCCTTTGGAATCGAGAGTCGGTGACACGATAGTGATCCACGAGCTAGATAGAATGGTCAACACCGCGCATCGGAGGGATCCCGCTGTATGAGAAATACGGGGGGGAAACGTCGCGATACTCTCAAATCAAATCGTGAACGGCGGGCTCTAAGTCGGTCGTG